GGGGCAGGCCAGGCGAGCTGCAGAGAAGGGTGTGAGCCCCAGCAGACTTTAGCATGAAGGCTCTATCTACTCCGTGGTGTGACACCCCCCTTTTTTTGTGCTTCAACTGGGACACGACTTCTGAGGTGAGGATTTGCTTGGATTGGAAGAATATCTTCTCTCCATCCCATCCGAGTTCCCCACGCTCCCGCTGTATTTCACGGAGGCGTGGCCCAGGATGAAATCGAAAACGCAACTTCCTTCAGCATCAGCTTGGCCATGTTTTGGCACGACTCAAGAAAGGTACCGTCGAAAAGTACAAAGACTTCCCATGTCCGAGCGTGGTGAAGATATTCCAAAGTTTCGTTTGGAGCCAGGAGGAGGTTGATGTCCAGCTCCGGGGTTCGGCCCTGCTCCTGGCACTGGCAGCGCAAAACGCGCAGCTTGTGGAAGAGCAGCAGGCCCCTGCACGTGTTCAAGCGAGGACTCATGCCAAAAACTAGCTCTCGTGCAAAGTTGCGCTTCAAGTTTGCGAGCGTGGGCCGTGCCAAGTGGTTCCACGCATATGAGATCAAGAGTTGGTTGTTTCAGCGGGACATCGCGTTCCAGAATTTAGTACACTTATTTGTCTAGGCGTCACGAACCAAGAAACAAATCCCAAGCCCAGCATTCAACACGCCAGGCTGCGACGGAGCATTTGCCGCAATTGTCCGCGCCGTGGAGCACGGAGCGGCTTCGGTGGGCCAAAGCAGCCATTCTAACCAGGCACGTGGGGATTGCACTTGACTATCTAGACTAAGTCCCCGACGTATGCTGCATTTTTTAAACAGAGCAGCTCCAAAGCAACTTAGAAGGCAAACCTTTCTGCAATCTTCTCTATTTTTTCCCCCTGCGGCCAGCTTGGAACGGTCACACATGCAATCCCGGTAAATACAATTTCTAATCATCTGTGTTCACACAACCCCTATGAGAAAAACATGTCCTTGCTCCAGCAACGCAGCTTGGTTAAGCTACTCCCCCATCATCATTTTCGATTGAGTAGGAGTATACTGGCAAACGCCGGTTTCCCAAGCAAACGCTGCCCCTATGCTATGCGCCTGGTGTTTTTGGGCCGTGCAGGGCGGGTCCTTGCCTGGCGGCATCGACAGACGAGGAGTGTCACTGAATCAGTCGTCTGTTTCAAACCGGCATTCCAACATTCTTCCAGCAACGCATTCCAGGACGCTGCAGCTATGCAGGGCATGGTGCCGTTCCTTGCCTACAATTGGTGCATCCTTGCAACGTTCTGCAATAGCAATATTCTGCATGTTGGCATAATGCAAAGATCGCAGGCAAAGGGCCTGAAAAGCCTTGAGACCTTTTTTGCATACAGTGATCTCCCGACCTTTGGAGTGGGCACCTGGGCAAAGCTAATGAATTCAAGACATTGATGATTTTTCCCCCGTGAAGAGGCCCGAATTTGGCATTTCGCCCACGCTCTTATTGTTATCGGGCTCCTGGGGCAAAAGCCAATGTTGGGTTCCTCGACAGTCAATTTCCAATGTAGTTATCTTGTATTCTTTCTGTTTGCATTTCGACAAGAAAAGGCGTGACACAAAAAAACAAGGAAAGAAGCATGAACACATGACGACGCCATTTCAAGCAAGTGATCTGTATGTATGTACCATACTGCAACACAGGCTGGTGGACTTCGCAAACTGTTCGGCCGCCGCTCGCCCAGCAATAAGATCCGGCTTCCTGATGCTACCCCACACAACATATGTTTGAGTGTTGCATTTCTTCTGTTACACAATGCAGGAGCAGAAAAGTTGATGAAGGTACCCAAGTGAAAGTGATCAGAGAGGGCGTTCCCTGCCGCATGGGATGGCCAGGAGTCCAGGTTTAGGGTTTAGGATCGAGGTGTGCAAGCCGACATCAACCTACTAAATTTTCAGGAGAAGCGCCGGCGCGTGATGCAGACCTGGCTCATAAGGATCCTACGGCCCTGTGCCGGCTGGGCGCAGATGATGCCATCGAGCTCGTGGCAGCTAAAGATCTGCAGGCGGCATGTTGCATCATGGAGTCCAGTCGGTATGGATGCTGATTAGTAGGATGTTTCTGCGGTTTGATTGCCTGCTTTTTGTTTAGGAACCCAAAAAACAGTTCTTCCCTACAAGGGCAATAGGGAGACTATTTGCTTTTTTTGCGGGTTCTTAAGCAAGTAGTAGTAGTTGCAGATGTCAATTTTGCAGCCCGCCGCTCCTTCCGGTAGCAGTTGCCCGCAAAAGATGTGCTAGCCGACAGCGATTGCAGAGCCAGGCAGGCGAAGCTGTGACCATCAGCTACGGCCAACAAAGTCAGGACTTGAACTGCCATCACCTGAACATCTTAAACTCTACATCTTAATTGAGCCCGACTCCTAAACCCTAAGTCTAAGTACAAACGATTGCTATCGAGAATGTGATGTTTCCGACGCGAACTTCAGCTCCTCGCGGCACGGCATTTTACATTCTATTTGCTTGCAAGCTTGCATCGTAGGATCTTGCAGGCAGCTTTAGTATGCGCAAATCCACCTGGTTCATGTATGGTATGTATTTGTGCACTTGGCACTTGCTCATTTGCATCTGTTTCCCTGAGGAGCAGCAGCTTTTCAACTTCGGGTTCACTTTGCCGTCGGCTTCCATGGACCTCCTTACGCCTCTTGCCAGTCCCTCAGGTCTCAAATGTTAGCCACGAGCAAGATGCGCAAAACTCTTACTTCACATTCAAAAGAATATATTTCTATACATATATATATATATATATATGGGGTTGTATAAAAACCCCGCGCGTTCGATTTATGAAAGGAGTTGCCCGAAGCGTTTGGGGCAGTGCCCCTGACTCGTAAAACGATAATCAAGAAAAAAAGATAACGTTATAAAACGGCCTGATTGCTGCATCGCGGCAGGCAGGCGACACCAGTACTAAGCTTGTACTACAAATCAACGAAAATCCAGCCGGCTCACAGGACGGCGGTTCCAGTACTAAGCTTGTACTACAAATCAACGAAAATCACGACGGCTCACGCGGACGGCGGTTCCAGTACTAAGCTTGTACTACAAATCAATGAAAATCCCGCCGGCTCACGGGGACGGCGGTTCCAGTACTAAGCTTGTACTACAAATCAATGAAAATATCGCCGGCTCACGGGGACGGCGGTTCCAGTACTAAGCTTGTACTACAAATCAATGAAAATATCGCCGGCTCACGGGGACGGCGGTTCCAGTACTAAGCTTGTACTACAAATCAATGGAAAATCCCGCCGGCTCACGGGGACGGCGGTTCCCGTACTAAGCTTGTACTACAAATCAATGAAAATCCCGACGGCTCACGCGGACGGCGGTTCCAGTACTAAGCTTGTACTACAAATCAATGAAAATCCCGCCGGCTCACGGGGACGGCGGTTCCAGTACTAAGCTTGTACTACAAATCAATGAAAATCCCGCCGGCTCACGGGGACGGCGGTTCCAGTACTAAGCTTGTACTACAAATCAACGAAAATCCCGCCGGCTCACGGGGACGGCGGTTCCAGTACTAAGCTTGTACTACAAATCAATGAAAATCCCGCCGGCTCACGGGGACGGCGGTTCCAGTACTAAGCTTGTACTACAAATCAATGAAAATCCCGCCGGCTCACGGGGACGGCGGGTCCAGTACTAAGCTTGTACTACAAATCAATGAAAATCCCGCCGGCTCACGGGGACGGCAGTTCCAGTACTAAGCTTGTACTACAAATCAACGAAAATCCCGCCGGCTCACGGGGACGGCGGTTCCAGTACTAAGCTTGTACTACAAATTAATGAAAATCCCGCCGGCTCACGGGGACGGCGGTTCCCGTACTAAGCTTGTACTACAAATCAATGAAAATCCCGCCGGCTCACGGGGACGGCGGTTCCAGTACTAAGCTTGTACTACAAATCAATGAAAATCCCGCCGGCTCACGGGGACGGCGGTTCCAGTACTACACTTGTACTACAAATCAACGAAAATGCAGCCGGCTCACGGGGACGGCGGTTCCAGTACTAAGCTTGTACTACAAATCAATGAAAATCCCGCCGGCTCACGGGGACGGCGGTTCCCGTGCTAAGCTTGTACTACAAATCAACGAAAATCCCGCCGGCTCACGGGGACGGCGGTTCCAGTACTAAGCTTGTACTATAAATCAACGAGAATCCCGCCGACTCACGGGGACGGCGGTTCCAGTACTACGCTTGTACTACAAATCAACGAAAATCCCGCCGGCTCACGGGGACGGCGGTTCCAGTACTAAGCTTGTACTACAAATCAATGAAAATCCCGCCGGCTCACGGGGACGGCGGTTCCAGTACTAAGCTTGTACTACAAATCAATGAAAATCCCGCCGGCTCACGGGGGCGGCGGTTCCAGTACTGAGCTTGTACTACAATCCATGAAAGTGTAGGTTGTTCCACAAAACCCTGTAAAACGATAATCAAGAAAAAACGATAACCCTAGAACGGATGAATAGATTTATAACGGGGTTTTTATACAACCCCATATGTGTGTGTGTCTGTATGTATGTATGTATGTATGTGTGTATGTATCTATGCATCCAGGTTCTTAAGGGTGAGGGGGGTCCAAGAAATAGGTAGCCCTAGTTCTCTCGCAGTGATTGCCCAGTTCTCACTAAGGCTAAGCTTCCCTAAGGATGCCTTGGTACCGCCCTTTGGGGGCCCTTCCCTTCAGAAGCTGACAACATCACCCGATGACCTTGCCGGACTTCGACATGTTGTGGCAGTAAACGTGCCAACCTTTAATTATCTTGTTTAATTACGTAGCAGTTTGAAGAGCAGATGTCGCGCGGCCACTTGAACCTTCTCAAGCTTTGGGGGGCATTTGTGGTAATTGGGGCCCTACTTGCAGCATGAAGCCGCATTCGCTCCCTGGTTTCTTGGGGAGCCTCCGCTTTGGCACTTTGCAACCCATGCGCGCGTTGGATTCCCAAACGCGCCGGCTGTCGAGCAGAGTTTGCACCGCGTCCTCAGGTCTGCCTGCAGGACCCGGAGGTGCGAAAGCAATTTCAATGCGACAAGAGGCCGGCCTTCGACGTTTGAAGGAGCTTGCGGCGGCCAGGGGTGGACAGTGTCTTGCAGAGCAATACCGTGGCATCAGGGCCAAGGTGCCATGGCAATGTGAATTGGGGCATATATGGTATGCACAGCCAGACAACATCCAATACAGTAAGACCTGGTGCCCTGTGTGTGCGGGCTCAGCCCCTCTTGGCATGCAGCGCTTGCACGACCATGCTGCGTCCAAAGGTGGACTCTGCTTGGCCTCAGCGTATCGGAATACACGTACAAAAATGCGATGGCAGTGCAGTGATGGACACCAGTGGGAGGCAACTCCAGCGAACATCATGTATGTGGGCAGCTGGTGCCCGAAGTGCGCCCTCCAAGCTAGAGCAGAGAAACAAAAAGGCTCCGGGCGAAAACGAACTTGCAAAAGGCTGGGCCTGCTTGATTTGCAGGCGCATGCTGCTACCAAGCATGGCTTGTGCTTGGCTGCTAGCTATCAGAACTCTGCAACAAAAGTGCTGTGGCAATGCGAATTTGGTCACCAATGGAGCAGCGCTCCCAAGAATGTGCTGTACAAAGGTACTTGGTGCCCACACTGCGCGAGGAAGGCTTCCCCAACCTTGCAACATTTGCAGGATCATGCTTCGGCACTTGGTGGCGAATGCACCTCGGAAGGATATGTGAACCTGCATAGCCACCTGAACTGGAAATGCAAAGTCGGCCATGTGTGGCAAGCAAGTGCCGCATCCGTCATTCATCACGGAAGCTGGTGCCCTTTCTGCGCCGGCAAGGCACCCATTGGCCTGGCGCGTTTGCAAGCTCACGCAGCATCCCTAGGTGGAGAATGCTTGTCCACCACATATACAAACAAGTATAGAAAACTTCTGTGGCGCTGTGCGCTTGGACATACATGGACGGCTATTGCAGGCAGCGTTTTGCATGGCCGTACCTGGTGTCCACACTGTGCAGCTATGAGGTGGCGAAATGAGTCTGAAGTGCGCCAGATTTTCGAAGCCATTTTTGCACCGGCCAGGTTTGGCGCAACATTTCCAGGTTTTTTAGGAGGGCTGCAACTTGATGGCTACAACCCGGAGCTGCGTTTGGCTTTTGAGTACCATGGCGCGCAGCACTATGAGCCCGACAACTATTTTCATTTTGGCGACGTAACAAAGTTTCACGGCCAGCAGGAGAGAGACAACAGGAAGGAGCAGCTGTGCGCTCAAGCCGGCGTGCGCCTCCTGGTGGTCCCATACTTCGTGAAGGACAAGCAGACATTCGTTCGGTTGGCTTTGCTGCGATGGTTCCGCATGTCTGACGTGAACCCAAGGGTACTTTCAGCCTAGGCCTAGAAGCAAGAGATTGTGCAGCAATGGGTTGATGGCAGGCTTTGCTTGCAAAGTTTCACAAGCACGCCGTGCCGCGGAAGCAAAACGTAATTCAAGGGTTTCCCTAACCGTTCCACCTCAAGTATCGTTCCACCTCAATTTCAGCGTGCTGCTTCAGCGCGAAGCCCACGCGCTGAAGCAGCATCCGAAATTGAGGCAGCACCCAAATCGAGGCGGAATGGCTATGGAACTCCTGAAGTAATGTCACTGACGCAACCATGTCTGACCGATTTTAAACTTCAATCGACAAAAAGAAAAACTTCAATCCCAAGCCCCAACCAAGCCCAACAGCATGCCGCCTCAGAAAGAAGGTCGCGACATGGTTTCGCCAGGTCGATCGTTTTAGTGTAATCCCCAGCAGGCCCCAGTAGCATGCCCAAGAATAACTGGTCACAAGGGTGGGGTTTTCGCTTCCTGAAGTGTATGATGTGGCTCTGTGCCCATTCCCTTGTGCAAGCTCGCTCATTGCCCAGCCATAGACCGTAGCTGTTAATGCCCAGGCCATGGTGGTGCCTCCAGAGGTCACGACGGCAGTGGAGCTGCGCAGCGTGCTGCTGAAGCAAGGGACTCTGTGGGAGAGAAGCAGCTGAAACATGTAGCATGTGCAGGGACTTCCTGGAGGTAGTTGGGCATGGGAGTGGTGACACCGGCTCATTAGCTACAGTCTCAACCATGGCCTTGACAGGTTTCTATTCCTCGAACGCGGTGAGCAAGCAGAGACTTGACTTCCAAACTGCTGCAAGCAAGTGGGTTTCTGGAGTGGCTGGTTGGCTATGGTAGGAAGTCACTTTTTTTTCGAGAGGCTTTGCAGTCTTGCGGCAAATTCCGGCATGTTCCTGGCAGCTTTCTAGCTGTGGCTTTGCTGCTTCCCCGCCGCAGCTTTTGAAAACTGCGTGTGGACGTTGGGTGTTTTATCGCGTCCAAACCCTGCACTGCACCTTCGCATCCACAGGACGGGCTAGGGGGCGGTCTGCCTCCGGTGGCGCTCCTGCGTGCCAAGCAGCTGCCCTAGACTTCGAGTGTCCGACTCAGGGTTCATGCTACATTGAGAAAGACTGTAAACCATCGCGGCATATTTTCCCAAGAAACTAGAGCTGTCCCCCCAAAAACTGACGACAGTGACTCCAGCGTTCAGGGGCAAGCAAAGAGTCCCTACTGCATGAGCCGCGGGCCATCTAAATTGACTTGATTGACTTGTTGGCACAGCCTTTCGCCAGGTCTCTCGAGGAGGTTGATGTGTCCGAGATGCGGGCCGTCGCGAACTTGCTGGACCCCGATTCAAAAAGGATGTGGTTTCATGGGGCAAATCGTCTTCGCAGTCAAACGGCGGCTCTCGATGCAAGCCCCCCTTTGAGCAGGAGATGCCCGAAGCTGAACTCCGCCCGAAGCCTGGTCAGGATGACATGCTCGCATGCAGCGGGAATGTAATCCTAAGCCCTAAACCCGAGGGTGAGCGGTTGAAAAACCCTAACCCTAAACCCTAAACCCTAAACCCTAAACCCTAAACCCTAAACCCTAAACCCTAAACCCTAAACCCTAAACCCTAAACCCTAAACCCTAAACCCTAAACCCTAAACCCTAAACCCATCTTCTAAGCCCGAACCCTCAAAACTTACCAGCCCCAAACCTTAGCAGCCCCGAAAGCCCATAGTCCCCCCCCAACCAAGGGGCGGTGGCCGACCATGTCAAGAGCCAGCAGGCGCTGGGACCTCAGAGCATGGTTTGAACATCCTGAACCTTCTGAGCCCAGTACTCTCAAGACCCCTAAGAACTTTACGGTTTAGGGTTCAGGGAGTATAGGGTTTAGGGTTAAGGTCTTCCCCTAAATCTTGTTGTGTTGGCCAAAAGGCCTGTTGTGTTTAGAGCACAGCTTGGCTAAGGCTTCCAGCCTCACTGAGGGCCGAAGCCTCACCCGCGGCCCTTCGGCGCGTGCTGGCGCGCCTGGGGGATTTACAGGTTTGAAATGGGGAACTCCTGGCTCCTGAAGCAAACAAAGAAAAAGGTTGAAATGGGTTGGCGTAAGGGTTTAGGACGTTCGGGATGTGAGGTTTAGTGGGACATGGGACTCGGCGTTAAAGGGTGAGGAAGGTTTTGGGCTTATGGGCTCGATGGTTCAGGGCTCAGGCGGCCCGACCGCTCAGCTTGCCTAAGCCTCAAGCCGAGCGCCTCTGAGAATGTGATTTGAATGCAGGGGCTGCTGGATGTTTGGCACGAGGACTGTCATTGTGTGCTTTGAGTGGGGTGGTGGGGTGAAGCTATGGCGGAAAGAATGGGGGAGTTGCTTGTTTTTTTTACTTCAGACGTCAGCCTTACCCAGATGCCAGCTGTAGGAGCGCGCGAGCATGTGCAAGCCGTTTCTGTGATGGCTACCTTCTCCCAAGAGAACGCGTACCCGCATCGCTTGCCGAGTCCAGGGTCCAATAATAGAAAGTTGTCGATCCGTAAATAACAAGGCGACGGCACTCCATATATTCTGTGGGAAGTCAAATCTCTATGCGTGCCAGACGTACTGCAAAATGCTTGCATGCCTCTCCTGCTGATAGTGCTCAATAGTGCAGCAGCAAGTGCTCCAATTAAAGCTGGTGTCAACAGGGATCCCGATAAACACGAAGTCCTCTTCATGCCGAAGTGGCCTGTTCAACTAGCTAAGCGCGCTCCACTGGCGATGTCCTCCGGCGCTGCTCCTGCTGCTGGTCCGCCACTGGCGGAGGTGGCGGGGTCGGTAGAGGAGGATGCCATGGTGTCCGGCCCCAGCTGGTTCTGGCTCAAGGGTGTGCTGGCTCCGGAGGAGCAGCTCCAGCTCTTCAGCTTCCTTCACGAACGTGACGCGACCGACTGGGAGAAGCTCTCGCCCTGCATGAACCCAACGCCCAAGACTCTGGCGCTGGTTCAGGGGGATGGCCCCCGGGTTCTCAGCTTCGGCCCCAAGGACAAGGTTGCCGTGGTTGAGATGGTGCAGAAAGCAAGAGAGGCCGAAGTACGAATATGTGGGGGACACTTATACCCAAACCGAAAAAAGTAAGGACACTTACCCAAACCATAATAGTATTAATTCCTATTGTAGAAACCCTACTTTCTGCTATGTAGGTACTGTAATAGTAAGGATACTAACCCAAACCATAATATTTTGTAGAAACCCTACTTTCTGCTCCATAGGTACTTCTAGGACCCATTTGGGAAAGCAAAAGAGAGGCCCTGGGATGGCGCCAATCGGTCAAATCGCTGACCGTCGCCGCCATCCGGTACTGCGCACGCGGGAGCAACCCTTGCATCGGCAGCTGTCTCTTATAGGGATACTTGGAAATCTTTTTTTTGTAATGTTTGGGCACTTGAATTCCTATAAGAAACAGTTTTTAATGTTTGGGTACTCTAATTCCTAAGAAACCGCAAGAATCTATGATTTTTGCCAGGGTTCCAAGATGTTCCAAGTTCTGTATAGGCTTCCCACCCCATGTCGACCACTGCAACGACGGAAGCTGGGTCTTTTTGTTCAGCCTTGGCTGCGCAGCGACCTTCCAGATCAAGAGCCCGGGTATGGCCCAGCGGCACACTTTCGAGATGAAATCGGGGGATGCTCTGGTGTTCGACCCATCATCTGCGGCAGCAGTTGTCCACGGCGTCGATGGCGTCGCACATGGGGAGGAGGAAGCACTGGCAAGAGGGGTTGAGCTCAGAGGAGGAGAATATGAGGTTCTTCGTCATAGTCGGTTCGGCGTGCAGTGTCGAGTGTCTTTGGTGGACTGAATGCCACTGACACTGCTGTCTGCCGGCCGAAAGAACCTGGACTACGTTACCTGATGAGGTGATGAGGCATTTTTACATCTCTCATTGTGCTTGCTGACCGTAAACTTGTTGCTGCTGTAGTGTTCAATGGGAATAATTGTGGGATCCCCATAAATACGAAAGGGTGCACAATACAGGCTCCTATATGCATGCTAGCTTCTGAGTAGGACCTTTTCATGTCTTTCTGGTTGGCACACATTGTCATTCATCTTCGTAAACATATGCATGCAGTCCTGAGGCTTACCAGCGGCCTGCGCAAGACCTGTCATCCTGATGGCGAAAAGCAGACACGCCCTGCTGACGACGATTCTCTGCTATCTTGTGTATTCTGAAGATCCGAACTTTATCCTGCGAGATGACCAGCGCCTTCTGATTGCTGCCAACTTCACCAGCACTGCATGGGTGGGCAGCACGACGCATAACACATGCTTGCGGGCAAAGGTGGCAGAGTGGATGCTATACAGGTAGCTTGAAGAATGAGGCCACCAGGACAACAGGGGAAACACACGGCGGTCGGACAGCTCCCAACCTTCGCACCTGCGAGCGAAGAATAGCGACGCGTACAAGGCAAAAGTTGCCTGCAGCAGGGATGTCTATGCTTGACTCATGGCCCTCTTGAAGACATCTGGGAGCTGCATCCTCAGCTTCATCCTTAGATAGTCTCGCAAACCTTCTATCAGACAACGTCGCACAAACATCTGCCTTCTAAGGCAAGAGCCTCAAGAGATCTCTCAACCCCGAGGAGCTCACCACCCCCGCGCCGGCGAAGCCCCGCTTCGCGCCCGTGGCCGCGCCGGGGGGCCCCAGGAGCAGAAGGAGCAGAGCGAAACTGAGGGTTCTGCTAGAGGCTTGAACCCTAAATCCTACACCCTTGCGGTTTGAGGTTTAGGGATTAAGGTCGGAGTTTCAAGTTAGGGTCCTCAAGGGTTTGGGGCTTAAGGTTTGGGAATGGTTTGGGGCTACGGTTTAGGGTTTAGGTCTCTTGAACGTTTGGGGCGTAAGATTTGCGGATTATGGTTTCGGGTTTGCTTAAGGTTTACAGGGTTCAAAACAGGCTTTAGGTGTTTTTGGGCCTGTAACTCCACTACCTTCGAAATACGGAATCTATTAATTTAGGTGCCAATCAGAATTGTCTATCAAGCTTCAGGATAGGCAGGGGGTTTTACACAGCGCAGGCCGACATCACACCAACAGCAACGTCAAGCCAAAACCCTATACCCCAAACCCAAACCCTAAACCCTAAACCCTGAACCCTAAACCCTACAAACCCTAAACCCTGTAAACCCTAAACCCTGTAAACCCTAAACCCTAAACCCTAAACCCAAGCTCTCAAAAGCGGCTCCCTCACACAGAAAGCTCCCCAGGTACCGCCGCCAGGCAGCCGCGTTGGTGGCTGCGGCGCGCCAGCTGCTCAAGGCCGAGGAGGCCCCCTCAGGTTCCCAAATAGGGTTTAGGGTTTAGGGTTTGGGGTTATAGGGTTTAGGGTTTAGGGTTTTTCAGGGTTTAGGGTTTAAAGGGTTTAGGGGTTTAGGGTTTAGGGTTTGGGGAAACCGTTCTGGGGCGTCGAGCCCGGGTGCGGGGTATAAGAGATGCCTTGCAAGCCTAGGGCCAAGTACGTGTTTTCACCCTCACACAATATGACTCTTTACCTTGTGAGGCATCTAGTAGTTGGAAGCCTAGCAACCCCAAAAAATCTTGACCTGAAACCTAAGTAGCAGTTAGGCTGGTCAGTTCTCAGCCCTTTCATAGACATCATGGACGTCCGAAGCCCCAAGCCCGAAACACAGAGAACAACCGCCCAAAGCCTGAACTTCCCAAACCCACAAACTCTCAGAGTTTAGGGCTTAATATAAATGTCAGCAAAAGTTGCTTATAGGGTTTAGGGTTTATGAACCTACCCTAAAAACCCTACTAAACACGGTTAACCCTAAGAACCCTAACCCCCCTCCCCCCCTACAAACCCGAAACGTTTTTTTGCATCGCCTGAGTGAGGAGCTGGCGGCTGCCACCAGCGGAGCGCCCCTGGCCCTGTGAGAGGCGCGAGGATTCCAAAGCAAAGGGCGGGTTTAGGGTTTAGCGGGGTAGGGGTTTGGGGGTTTGGGGGTTTGGGGGTTTGGGGTTTGGGGGTTTGGGGGTTTAGGGGTTTCGGGTTTCGGGTTAGGGTTTAGGGTTGAGGATTCCCAGTCGCCTTGTTCCCTTCTTTCATTCCATAGCAAGGAGGGTTTAGGGCTTAGGGTTGAAATTTTAGGGCTTTTGGTTTAGGATGCCCTTTGTTCCCTGACTAGGTTACTGGGAAGAGAGCCTAGGAGTCTCAGAGATATTTGGGGATTAGGGGCTTGGAGACCGTGACATGCCAACTCAGGATTGCTGTCTTAACGTTGGGTTCCGTACTCCGTAGATGTACAATTTAGATGAGCCCTCAAGGAAAAGCAGCTTTTTCTGGGTGAGCATTCCATACTAGGGTGCTTTCCTACCTCACTGGGCTCTCACTTGTATGCTCAAAGTTCAAGGGCGCGGGCCTGAGGGTCGTTGTCGATTTTTAGCTGCGGGTGTGTGTGTAGGCCCAGGCGTTTGTGTTTGTAGGCTTGTGACCCCAAGCCCCAACACGCTAAAACTTGTAGTTCCTCCCTGTTTCCTTCTCTTGTGCAGCTCATGTCTCTGCACTATGTCTTTCTCTACAATTTAGTCTACAATCACTGATGTGTCACCGTCCGCCAGCTGTTTTGCGGCTTACAAGCAGACTCAGAGGGAGAAACGCCCAGCGCCTCGCAGTTCCGAAACCACAGCATCATGTTCCCAAGGCGTGCTGGGGAGTCGCTGGGAGGGTAGGCTTGAGATTTGTTTGGGGGGGGGGTTTAAAGCCGGGACGAGGAGGAGAAGGGGGCTCGAAGATCCTCTCCCAAAAGCTGCATGTCGTCTAAAGCCTGAAATCCATGATCCCATGAGCTCTTCAAGCTAGCATATGCATAGCGACTTGACGAGCTTCTTTGGTAAGGCACACTTGTGGAGTGGATGACAGCGGGGTCCTGCAAGCCTATCCCAGATAGAGGTGTGTAGGTACACTTCTCGATTTGGGTTGCGCAGGTGCTGAACCACAAATTCCTGGGTTTTTTTCGTATCACCATGTATCACCATGGACTCAAGTCTCGTGAGGCTTCTGAGCATGTCTGATAAGCCCTACGGCGACCTGCTGCTTAATCTGCTCCGAAGTGGCCTTGCAAGATTTCCGGTGCCTTTGCTTTGCACGCTTTGTTTTTTTGTTGCGAAACTCTACTTGCAGGTTCATGGGCAGTTAGGGTGACAAGTGCCCCAAGTAAGGGTACAATCAGTTCTAGTTAGAGATGCCCTACTTCTAACCCAAACTAGCCTAATTAAACCCTCAAAACCAGCAAAACCCTCAAAACTCTCAAAACCCTGACCCTAAACCCGAAACCACAAACCCCAAACCCTAAACCCTGAACCCTGAACCCTAAACCCTAAACCCTAAACCCTAAACCCTGAACCCTGAACCCTGAACCCTGAACCCTGAACCCTGAACCCTGAACCCTGAACCCTGAACCCTGAACCCTTCCTTCCTTACACTCAGCCGCAGGTTGTTGGCCGCCCGACTTTGCCTGGCCCGCCCCGCCGCCGCGGCGTTCGGCCGACAAGGCTGCCATGGGTGTGGGGTTTAGGGTTTAGGGTTGGGGGTTTGGGGTTTAATTAGGGTTTAGGGTTTGGGTTTGGGGTTTGGGGTTTGGGGTTTGAAGTTTTGGGTTTGGGGTTTGGGGTACATCCCAGCTCGGTCACCCATAGCTGCGTCCCTGGGACGCGAATCAGAAGCTGTGACCCTAAGCCCTACAACCCCAACCCTAAACCCTCAAACCCTAAACCCTAAACTCCAAGCCCTGGGGATGCAGCGTGGTGTGCGAGGTCTGCTAGGCAGGTGCCCTTACTATGGTCCCTTAACCCTTTTTTATCGGGATCCGAAGTATGGGCCCTTCTTATGTAGAGTGTATATAAGGGTTCTCTAGCAAGGGGCCCAAATGAGGGTCCCCAAACTTGAAACCCTAGGCCAAAAAAACCCTGAACCCTAAACCCTGAACCACCCTATAGACCCTAAACCCTAAACACTAAACCCTAAACCCTAAACCCCCCCCAAAAAACCTTAGATCTTGAACCAGGTCTCCAGCAGCTGCGCCAGCAGTCCTCCTTCGCAGTGCAGGTGTCTATACCCCTAAACCCTAAAGGGGGAATTTGTCGAAATCCTGAAACCAGGGACTTTGGATTGGGATGTTCCTCCTCATACTAACAGTCATCATGAACGGGGATTGCGGTACGCCGATTATAAATCCCTAGTAAGGACAGGGGGAACATCCCAAGCTGTCGATGCAAAAAGAAGTGTTTTCGGGACACCCTGCATAGCTGGACGAGCCACTCCGCAGGCGTAGGATTTCGGGCTTGTGCAAACTGAAGCAGTTTCCAGGTTCAAAAGGGTTTGTGCAAAAAAAGGTTTGTGAGAAGGGTCGACTATTTAAGGTTGAATTGCTCAGAAGAATGGGTTTGTGGCTGAGGCTTTCTCCACCTTCATGTACCCTAAAATGAGCGGGTGGCAAAAATAGCCCTAAACCCTAAACCCTTAAGAACCCTAAAATCTACCTTCGCAACATCTGGGGATTGAGGGGTCGGTTCCGCAGGCCTGTGTACCCGTCTACCTACTTGGAGGTTCATGAGGTGTGTTACCTGCCCTACTTCGACTACTTCTAGCTACTCATGAATCTTCAAAGATACTTCTTCACCTATCTCTGTGCACTTGCAGGCCACCATGCGTACAGACCACAACCAGCCACAGAGCCTCCACTCGGCCAAAACCTCGGCATTCCAAACTTCTTAACCCTATAAGCCCTACAAACCACACTTGTAAGCCCAAATCCAAACCCAAAACCCAAAACCCTAAACCCTAAATAAACCCTATACAATCCATCTATGTAGCCTGTAAGCTCTAATGGCTTGGGGGCTTGCGGTAAACCCGGGCAACTGGCAGGACCTGCTGACCGTCAGCGTGGACATGCCCATTTGCATCGCAGGCCTCAGGAGTTGCTGCTTCCTACCCTTTAAGCCCTACACCTTCTGGTTTTTTCCTTAGCCCCCAGACCCCAAACCCTAAACTCGAGCCCGTGGAGCATTGCTAGACGAGTGGCAACAAAAGTCTTCAAAACAACTAAGCCCCAATATCTAAACTCGAAACCCGAGCGAAAAAGATCCAAACCCTAACCTGCAAACCCTGTCTCATCAGTCGCGCACGCTCTAGGCCCTCCTTCTTAAGCAGCTATAAGAACTCAACCCTGCACTCAAGGCCGTACGCAAGGGTTAAGGTTAGGGTTTAGGGTTGAGGGTTCCTGACCATTCCCGGCCGACTCCCCAAGCCCGAATGCAAAAGGGTTGAGGGTTGGGGGTTTGGGGTTTAGGGTTTAGGCCCTAACAGCCCTAAACCCTAAACGCTAAACCCTAAACCCTAAACCCCCTAAACCCTAAGCCCTAAACCCTAAACCCTAAACCCTAAACCCCAAACCCCAAACCCTAAACCCTAAACCCTAAACCCTAAACCCTGACCCTGTTGCAGGCTACCTGGGTGCCCTCGGAGGAACCTGGGCTGCGGCTGCCAGCCTGGACAAGACCGAGGAGTCCCCGCAATTCATGGGTTTAGGGTTTAGGGTTTAGGGTTTAGGGTTTAGGGTCAGGGGCCGGGGGTTAGGGGTCAGGGGTTAGAGTTTAGGGTTTACGGTTTAGGGTTTAGGGTTTAGGGTCAGGAGCCGGGGCGTTTGGGGTTAGGGTTCAGGGTTCCGCGTGTACATGGGTTGATGAAGCGGAGTTAGCAGGTATGGGTTCTGGGTTTAGGATGACAAGGGTTTAGAGGTTACGCGATGCGCGTTTGAGGGTCTTGGGTTTAGGGCTTAGGGGGGAGCCCCTTACACCAAAAGCTATAAGCAAACCTAAGCACAGAATCCTATAAACCGTAAAACCAAAATCCGGAATCCCCAATCCCTAAACCCTAAATCCCAGAACCCTATATACCCTATGAAGGCCCAAACCCTAAGACATCCCAAAACCCTTGCTGAACCCTAAACCCTGAACCCTGAGCCCTTACGCCTAAACCCTAAACCCTAAGCCCTAAACCCTAAACCCTAAACCCTAAACCCTAAACCCTAAACCCTAAACCCTCCCCAGGAGCAGCGGCCGCAGGAGGAGCCCAAGGTTTTGGGCGGCTGAGCCACACCGGTTTGGCGCCGCCCATCAGGAGAGGAGGTGGGGTTTAGTTGAGGAAGGAGGGCTTAGGTTTTAGGGTTTACGGTTTACGGTTTAGGGTTTAGGCTTAGGGTTTAGGGGTTTTCATTGCTGTAGGTATTTGCAGAATTGAGGGTTTATGCAGGATTCCTAGGGTTTAGGTATGTTTAGGTTTAGGGTTGCGGCGATTGGGGAAGTAGTTGTTTCCTGTTTTTATATAGGCATCCCCAAACTTACACCCAAATACGTCTATCACCGACTATACGCTCACCAATACCAGCATTGCAAACCCTGCTTCACTTCATTGGGGCAGATTGTGCGAACAAGTATGCGTGCGCATCCAGTATTTGTTTTTGGAAATATCAACCCACTAAGCTCTAAAGCCCCTTTAAGATTTCCCTCACACTTCGACAGCTTTAGGCCTAAATAAAGGTAGTACTTGGCAAGGGTCGGTCGTGGTGGCTGCGAGAGTGCAGGTGTTCTCGCGGGCCGGGTTGTGCGACATTATTTACCTACATGTACAGTTCGGGGTCAAGATGCTGGAAGTTCCGTGATGCATTTGAAGTACCGGGTTTCGAGGTAGGGATTTAGTGGATTGGGCGACACATAAAAATCCTCTCCTCTGCCAGATGGGAAGAGCTCGGCATACATCGGGCAGGCAAAAAGCGGGGAGACGCGGAAGGCGCTTATCTGTTCGGGTAGGGAGTTGGCATGCAGTAGGGGTTTAGGGTTTAGGGTTTAGGGTTTAGGGTTCAGGGTTTAGGGTACGCAGTAGAGGGGTTAGGGCCTAGGGTCAGCTCTTGCCAGGAAGCAAGGCCTCACAGACTATAGAACATGTTGGGCCAGCGCAAGAATAGAAGGGTTTTGCCCCGGTCTAGGGTTTAGGGTTTAGGGTTTAGGGTCTAGGGCAATCTAACCCAAGTCTCCGCCAGAAAAAGAGATCCTGACTCTGAAGAATGTATCCATTCTTATCACAGGAAACCAAGAGAGTTTAATGACTGCAAGTGCCATCATACCAAAAGCTGCCTTCCTTATGTCTGCACATTGGCTTGGTCGAGACTATGAAGAGTTTAGCTTCAGGTGTTCGGTTTGGGGTTGAGGGTTGAGGGTTTAGGGTTTAGGGTTTAGGGTTTAGGGCTTAGGGATACGCAGAGAGCCCTTGAAGTAGAGACCTACCGAGCAAATCACAGCGCCAGCCGCACCTCCAGCACGAGCCTTCCCACGAATCTCTTCCATGCCGCACAGAGATCGGGGTGGAGCACGTGAGCTCACGTGAACTTTCGCTTTGTCTTGTGGGGAGGTTCCACAAAAGTTGGGAGACGTTCTCGGAGGGCAGATGGAGAGGGAACCCTAAACCCTAAACCCTAAACCCTAAACCCTAAACCCTAAACCCTAAACCCTAAACCCTAAACGCCCCGGAGACATGAGCGGCGACCCACGTCAGCTTTTCCCGATCTGTTGCTGGAAGAGAGTCGCAGGATACTTGCACACTTTTGGTGTGTTTGGAGCTTGCCGGTTCTTAGTAGGGAATGAGGTAATGACGTACCCTATAGAATAGAATCCCTTAAAGGACATATATATATATATATATAGGACGAAGAGCCAGGTGTTTGGGCAGTTCGTACGGTGCGCACATGTGCCTAGCCGTCCCTTGGAACCTCGATGCCCCAGGACCTGTCAGGGCGAGTTTAGGGTTTAGGGTTTGGGTTTAGGGTTTAGGGTTTCGGGTTTAGGGTTTAGGGTTTAGGGTTTAGGGTTTAGGGTTTAGGGTTTAGGGTTTAGGGTTTAGGGTTAGGGTTTAGGGTTTAGGGTTTAGGGTTTAGGGTTTAGGGTTTAGGGTTTAGGGTTGAGAACCCGAAACCCCGAAACCCTGACCTCGTAGTAGTTGAGTAGGAAACCTTTAACCTTTTGGGGTATATAAAACCCAACCATAATTGACAGGTTAACCGTTTGTGGCCCAGGGTGCTCAGCAACTAGGACCCTAAAAGCAAGGAGCATGATCCCTCGGTTGAGTGTTTCGTCACCCTAAACCCTAAACCCTAAACCCTGAGCCCCTACGGCTCCATGTACCCAAATAGGGAATACTTGGGCCTTCAAGTGCTTCTTAGGGACTTTGGCACCCATAATGAAGACTCCTAAACAGTAGGGTTCCCTTTTATAATAAGGACCCCAAGAAGGTACCCATATTTTGGAAACCCCCTTATAAGAATAAGGTACATGGACACGTAGGGAACCTTAAGCCAAAGCATCGTGCTCCGACAGTCCCATTTTGCCCCCCGCCCCCCCCACACCCAGACAATGTGCAGCCGAAGAAATGTCCATCAGGTGCCTACTCAGAGGCTATTGTCTAGTAGGTTCATCGTGCTTCGTAGAAAGAATCTTGCCTACCGTCTGCAGGTATCCTGCGATAGGACAGCGGATGACCCCTGCTCGCACATGTCGGGCCTACTGCTTTAGCCAACCCAGGCAGTCCTTTGACGAGTACGGCTTCGATCTACGCCCTAAACCCTAAACCCTAAACCCTAAACCCTAAACCGGAAGCCTGGTAGATGCAGGGTACACTTTTGCTAAGGGTATCGCCTGTGCACCGGGAACGCTTGAATCCCAACCGGACATCCCAGCTTGCTTCTGTGATTTTGGAATGCCACACTGCGTTGTTCGTGCTCTCCGGAGCCCGTTAGGGTCTAGGGTTTGCAAATGGGGTTTGGGGTTTTTTCGGGTTTAGGGTGTATAGGGTTTATACCCTAAACCCTAAACCCTAAACCCTAAACCCTAAACCCTAAACCCTAAACCCTAAACCCTAAGCCCTAAACGGTTTTTAGGCTTTTTCGGGTTTAGGGTGCTCTTCATTCCTAGGTCCTTGGCCTTATAACTTATAATGGCTGCCTGGCTGGCGGAAGCCAATACCAATTCAGTTTTGTGAGAACTCACAGCTTGGATGCGTGAGTGATTTCTTGAGATGGGACGCCTCGGATGGGACCGGAGTTGTTTAGTTTCTTTTCTTTGTGGTGCTTTACGGTAACTTTAGATCCTTAGCCTTTTTGGGTTGATGGGGTTTCTTAACAAGGCAGCTCAAAAATTTGATTTATAACTACCCTCCTAAGTGCAGCCGAGTTTTTTGTTGCTTAGGGTGCTTAAGGTTGCATTGTTAAGGCTACGTTTGATGAGTTGTTTTTTTTTTTTTGGGGGGGGGCTTGTGCTAGTTTTCAGTCAGGATTAATGATGGAATTCGGTACCCCCATCCTCCTATAGAATTACCTTTCATGGCTTGTAGGTGTACCGAGTTCCCGCATTCAGTCAAACCCTAAACCCTAAAACCTAAAACCTAAACCGGTTAGGGCAGGCCTTCGAGACCCTAGACCTTTAAGAGAATCCTAAGGGCCGACCTAAGGTTTAGGGTTTAGGGTTTAGGGTTTAGGGTGTAGGGTTTAGGGTTTAGGGTTTGCTATGTTAACTATGATAGCTTCAGCTTTTGTGTGGCTTATGTAAAGTGCGTCGGCTTGCGCAGGTTGCTTTTGACTACGGCACGGTTTTGCGTAGGCTTCCTTGCGGAGAGCCTGAGCCGCCTACAGCTAGGGGGTGGTGGACTTTCTTGCGTTGACGACGAGGCGCTCCTTGAATAAAGGGAATAAACGCACAAAAGGGGCCACAGATGCTGGGCCTTTGAAGTTGGTTGCCGAAGGGGGGATCAGGGCTGTTCAAGCCATCTCTCCCCCAGCGCCTCCGCGTTTAAAACATCCGGCTCTGAGTCTGGGATCTCCGATAGCGCTGCAGAGAGGCTGGGTGCCGACCGGTAAGGGAGATTTGTGCAGCCCTTTTGTCTGTCAACTCTGAAAGCCCTAAACCCTGAACCCTAAACCCTAAACCCCTGTTTAGCGTGTGTGGTGTGTGGGCTGGCACCGAAGGGAGGGGTGGAAAGGGCGTAGGGTCCAAACTGCTGGGTAAGTCTGCAATTCCAAGGTGCAAGATCCTGAAGATACCTTCGCCTTGCCTCAACCCCCAAACTATGTAAGAAGAAAGGTCCTGTTTATGGGTCTTCGTCTATTTTTGTTAAACCCCATCCCTAAACCTTAAACCCCAAAACCCTAAACCCTAAACCCTTGCAAAACCCTAAAGCCGAAACCCTCAACCTCCCTTCAGGGGGCTACCCTAAACCCTAAACCCTAAACCCTAAACCCTAAACCCTAAAATCTTGGTTGCTTGCGGGCTTTCCTGTTTCAAAGTGCATGCCTTAGGGCGGCAAGGGCTGCAAAGGCTAGGATCACCCTGAGCCCGAACCCTAAACCCAAACCCCCTGCATTTCTCTGCCCCTTCGGTTTAGGGTTTAGGGCTAGGGTTTTAGGGTTTAGGGTTTAGGGTTTAGGGTTTAGGGTTTAGGGTTTAGGGTTAGGGTTTAGGATTTAGGGTTTAGGGTTTAGGGTTTAGGGTGTAGGGTTTAGGGTTTAGGGTTTCAGGTTTAGTGCTAGCATCCATGGCTCGGAGCCGTCTGCCAGCATCCATGCCAATGTGCCAATACTTGCGAAGAATTCATCGGCGCGCCCCACTTTGAAAGGCCCGCCGCGTGGTTTCGCGGCGCCGTAAGGCCTGCCATGGCCATCTCATGCTAGGGTTTAGGGTTTAGGGTTTAGGGTTTAGGGGGATTAGGTTAGGGTGGTCCATGCTGGGGTCCAATCATTCGGGAAACGGCCTCCAGAGTCTTAAAGAAACCCTGACGCCCCCACACCATGACTGCCCAGACCCTGCGGCCCTAAAAAAACACTAAACCCTAAACCCTAAACCCTAAACCCTAAACCCTAAACCGGTCATAGACCCGAAATTCCTACGAAGCATCGCTTGGAGAGGCCAGGTCGGAAGATGAGGGCGCCGCTTCGATTCGGTCTCTATTCTCTTGCCTGAAGCCCCAAGGTGGCTAGCCCTAAACCCGAAACCCTAAACCCTAGCCCTAAACCCGAAACCCTAAACCCTGAAACCTGAACCTTGAACCCTGAACCCGAGAGAGAGAAACCCTAAACCCTAAACCGCGGAAAGCATCCGATTTCTTTAGGGAACTCAAGGAGCCCTAGAAGAGCTGATGATCCACAAACCTTGAGACTGCAGGGGTCAGGGTAGGTCGAAATAGGTTGTGTGATCACAATTCTTGGGGGTTCATGTGGTCACCAACAAACAAGATCAACTGCAGGTCCCTAAACCTTAAACCCTAAGCCCTGAGCCCTAAGCCCTAAATCCTAATTAAACCCTAAACCCTATACTTGTGATGACAGGGGCTTCAGGATTGCATAGCAGGTACAGTTTGTGCGCATTCCGCGTCATCTCTTGCCGAGATGAAGCAGGACCGCCTTACAGCCCACCGCAACACAAGTGGCCTAGATGTGGAAGGGTATCCGAAAAATTCGGGGTGGCTAGTCTGAGGTTTCAAAACAAAAGGATTGGATGATCTTGGGGTGCATAGAGGCACCGCCGTGGTTAGGACATGTCATGTGCCAACCGCTAGCGGGGATGCCTTGGCATTTTTGCACGGCCAGTGGTTGGCAGGAAGTGCCCGGACCCTGTACTGTTGTTATTCTTCCTTGTTTCCAGTGCAATGAATGCCGTCAACTCCTTGTTTGGAGTTGAGCTGTTTCTTGCTCTGGCTGCTTTCAGGAAGTATCAGCAGAGTACTCGCCCCAGAGCCCCGAAGACCTGCAGCCAGACTCCTCACGTAACCCCAGGTCATCTGTCATGCACGCCACGGACATGGTATTGAGTGCTGGGCATGGGCCAAGAATCGTGCTAGGCAACGTCTCGAGAGACCGAAACCCACATGAGCAGTTCTCAAAACGATGGTCCCTTTTTGGGTACCCTAAAGAAGAGGGGCTGCCTTCTAATAAGGACCCCAAAAGGGACCCTAATTTGGAGAAGTGAGCACATCGATCATCATTCTGAGCAATCCTTGAGTTCGAGCCCTTGTTGCGGCGGGGCTTGCATGGATGTCCATTGATGTCCATGCACAGAATCTCTGAATCTCAATTTGTTTCTTCATGTTCGAGGCTACAATACCATAGCACTTTCAACAGGGGATGGATCCGAAGTGGCCGCGGCGCTGCGTCCGGTCCGGACCGGAAGTTCACCTGTGATTCATAGGGTTCAGGGTTCAGGGTTCAGGGTTCAGGGTTTAGGGTTTAGGGTTCAGAAGTCAGCCCTGTGCGCAAGTCTCGAGGTCCAGTCAACTACAGAATCTCTCCTCAAGCCCACTGCCCTAGAACGCTGGAACCCTAGGGTTTAGGGTTTAGGGTTTAGGGTTTAGGGTTTAGGGTTTAGGGTTTAGAGTTTAGGGTAAATATCAACTTGAATTCAAGGCAACATAGTAAGCCCACCACTTCTTTTAAGCCATAACATTTTGTGCTACTCAACTAAATTCTGAGTGCTTCAACAGCAACGCAGTTTAGAGTTAAGGGGAAGTCGAATCAAGCTACCCCATACCCCCGCCCCCCCCCCCGCCATAGCCAAGCAGAAGAGCCCCAAACCCTAAACCCTAAACCCCAAACCCCAAACCCTAAACTCTAAACCCTAAACCCTACAAAAATCTGAAGCCTCCGAAGGCCCGAGCCTAGTGGCCCAGTACTAGTATTCAGAAGCGTCCCCTCCAAAACCAACAGGGAACCGGAAATGCCTAAACCCTAAACCCCGAACCCCAAACCCCAAACCCCAAACCCTAAACCCTAAACTCTAAACCCTAAACCCTAAACCCTGCTGCCCTGCAGAATCTTGTCGACATCGCTGCCGGGCCATGCGTTTTCGTCCCCGCACCCCCGCACGGCGCCCGCGCAAGCAAGACGCATGGTTCCGCCGCACGGGACAGAAAACAAGCACGGCTTGGGGTTTAGGGTTTAGGGTTTAGGGTTTAGGGTTTAGGGTTTAGGGTTTAGGGTTTAAACAAAAGGGTTTAGGGTTAAGGGCATGAGCCCCAAAGCTCTTTGTTTCAATTGGGGGTTTCCGAAATTCGGGGTACCTTCCCAAGGGTCCTAAGTACCCATATGGGGACACTTACCCAAACCAGAATAGTAATTCCTATCCCTTTGAGCTTCTTGGGGTCCTGAATGAGTCCTACTATTTGGGGAGTCTATATTGGGGTTCCCTGATTCTCGTAAACTCCCAATTCTTGTTCAGGTTGATTTCGGTTTTGCAAGAGGATCAGGTTAAAGGCATCCAAGCCTCGGCGTTGTACCCTAAACCCTAGACCCTAAACCCTAAACCTATAACCTATAACTTCTGCTAAGCTGACAGGCAGGTACTACAAACATGGGGTGTATGTAGGGCAGACTGCAGGAACTCCCTCCCGCTCACGCCCCATCTCAGGCGTCAGTCAGAGTTAGGATCCTCCCTTCTTTCGCAGTTGGCCACGAACCTCTGAATGCACACGTGAAGCCCCCCAAACACTTTCCAGCATGCAGATGGTCAGTTTCGGAGATGGTGGGCTGCTTCAAGTTTCAGGGGTCCTATACTATACCTCTAGCACTGCAAAAAGGAAGGTTATGTGGGCTTCAGAGACTATTATGGGCCTGGAGGGTCATAACTGGTCATCGTCTCACTCCTACTTCTAACTACCCATGAAACCTTCAAGTAGGGTTTCTGGCATTCAGGACATGCGGGCTTGCGGTTCGGAAGCATTCATAGTCCGACCCGCCACCTTTCTTTCAGGACCCTAAGCCCTCGCCGCAGGAAGTTCCACGTCCTGTCGGCGGAGTCGTCGCATGAAATCCAGCAAGAGATGTGGAATGATGTGATGGTGGCGGTGTGGAGAAAACAATGTCGCAACAGTGCCGGGAATCTTTTGACATGTACCTACCCCCAGCAGGGCGAGTTCTGGATCGTGGTAGGAGCCGGCAGTCCTTCTACACACCCGACCCGAGGACCAAAGGCTTGTGGGCTCTAGGAGGAGCATAGCCATGTCTCTGTCGGGAGGGCAAAGATGAAGTCCCTGCCAAGTTTCTCAAGTGCAACCATAGAAATGTCTCGGTATTTGTGGCTCCAGGAGCTTTTAGAGTTAGTTCGGCGACAAGACGCAGCACTGCACCAATGACCCAAGTCAGCGAATGTTTCTCAAAATATAAAACCGGGGTCCCCCTACCGGTGCCATTTTGACAAGAATCCCGCATAAATAGGAGCCTGCTCATAGAGCCTCTAAATTTCGAACTTCGTGCAGGGTGATCTCGGACAGCGCAGCCACAGAAACCGGCCAAGGTCACAAGTGAGTCAACACTAGCTGCACCAGCCCTCACAGCAGAGCACGTTCACTTCGACACCCTAAACCCTGCAACCTTCAACCCGAAACCCTACAATCCCTAAAGGTACCTAATTTGGGTTTCGGATTTAGCAAGCTTCAAGTTAGACCGGGAGTAGCGCAGGGGGCTTGCAGACCCCAAGAGAAGGGCCTTAACAACTTTCAATGGGTTTGGGGGGTTCTTACCAGAAAAGGGCCCAGAATTGTAATTCTGCCGACCCCTAAACCCTAAACCCTAAACCCCAAACCCTAAACCCTAAACCCTAAACCCTAAACCCTAAATCACAAGAACACCAAAAGATGCTACTGGCTCCGTCGGCGGCCTCTAGAGGCTCCGCGCTGGCACCTCTGCGGAGGCGACACCTTTCTGGGCGCAGCCGGCGTTCAGGGTTTAGGGTTTAGGGTTTAGGGTTTGTAGGGTTTAGGGCTTAAGGTTTAGGGTTTAGGGTTTAGGGTTTAGGGTTTAAGGTTGAGGGTTCAGGGTTTTTAGGTTTATAGGATTATAGGGTTTATAGCGTTTGGATCTACAGGTTTAGGTTTAGGACTTCGATCAGCAAACGATGTGCGGATGGCCTCCCGCGTTTAATCAGTTCGCGACAAACCGATAGAAGCGCTAAGCCCTATTTAGGTCTAAACATTCTAAATGGGCTGCGCTTTTCGGAGTAATTCGGGAGAAGGATCCTGCAGAAGCACTGTGCCCGCTCTCAACTACTCTGGGCAAGCTCTTCGCCACCTGCCACACCCCGCCCGAAGCCCGAAGCCCACGCAGCCCGCCCCGCCCAAAGGGTCCTAAGTACCTATATGGAGGGACACTTATATAATTCCTACTAGAGAAACCCTACTTTCCACTGTAGACACTTACCCAAACCATAAAGGTAGTTCCTATTGTAGAGACCCTAAACCCTGAACCCTGAACCTTGAACCCTGAACCCTAAACCCTAAATCCTAAATCCTAAACCCTAAACCCTAACTTTCTACTATAGAGGGTACTTAGGACCCTTTGGGGAGGCAGCCAGCCCCGCATCTCGCGGCTCCAGCGCCTTGGGAGGTCCGGCATGGGAAAGCGAGGGGACGACTCGCCTGCACTCGGAGTATACAGGAATTTACGAAGCCTACTTAAATATACAGGAGTTTAAAAGGCCTATACTTAAGTATACAGGGGTTTAAGAAGCTTCTACTTAAAGATACAGGGATTTAAGAAGCCTATACTTAAGTATACAGGGGTTTAAGAAGCCTAGACGTAACCCAAACAGCTACACAACCTTTATTATAAGCCCTAAATTAAAGGCTTGGTTTTGCTTCGGCGCGAAAAAAATTTGCTATCCTGGCAAATACTAGGGCACCCACGCAGGTATCCAAGCACAACGTCGCTGTTGCACGGAAGGCCCGTTATGAGGACTATAAGTGTAGCCCTTCCGCTTTCAAGGACTGAGCACCCTAATCCCAAACCTAAAACCCTGTAAAACCCTGTAAAACCCTGCAAAACCCTGCAAAACCCTGTAAAACCCTGTAAAACCCTGTAAAACCCCGTAAAACCCCGTAAAACCCTAAACCCTAAAACCCTAACCCACGCGCGCCATCTCAGAGGCTACTGGCCGACTGGCAGCCGGATCGATAGGCCGGGAAAGCGGGCGCTTCAGGGTTCTCACGCGGGATGGAACGATGCGGATGGAGTCAGGGGTTTAGGGTTTAGGGTTAGGGGTAAGGGTTTAGGGTTTGGGGTTTAGGGTTTAGGGTTAGGGTTTCGCTTGCACACGGCTGCTCGGAGAGGGTGCGTGCGAACACTTTCCCGTCACACGCCTCGGCCTCACGACGGGTTCAAAAGAGGGTTTAGGATGGCTTTGGGCTTGAGGGAAGTGACAGAAGGCCGCTGCAAGAGGGCTTGGGGGATTTTGCTTGTTGATGAGAAGTCTATAGGAGTCTAAGAGTCCAGGCTATGTAAGGCTTTATGAACTTGAAGTCGTCATGGCGGCTTCAATGCACTTGCAGGTTGGCTGGTCTGCTAGGCGGGCGGCGAAAAAGGAAGAACAGAATTTCTCAAAACCTGTGACAGACCGAAACCCCCCAAACCTTGAACCCTGAAGCACATGAAGCTCTAAACCGAACAACCTTGAAGAACGCTCCCTTACCCTTGCTTGTAGGGATCCGAAGTATGGGACCCCTCATTATTGTTAAATAGTGTCTGCTAGGGTTGTATAACAAGGGATCCCATACTTGGAAGCCTAGGCCCAACAGCCCTACCCTTATCCCTTAACCCTTGACCCCTTGACCCTGAACCTTCAACCCTCAAACCCAAAACCCCAAAAGCGCGGCTTTGGCGAGTCACCGGCCTCCTGGACCAGGCGTTGTGGCTGCATGCCGCCGCTTTCAGGGACGGCGGCACGACGTGTCACGCGGTGCGGAGGACTTCTTCCATGCTCTCTTTGGTTTAGGGTGTTTTTGTGGAATAGCCATAGCCTTATAAGGTTTCGGGTTTAGAGTTAAGGCAGCACTTTGCTTGCTTAGTTTAGAGTACTTACGCCCAAAACCGTATACCCCACACTCACAAAACCCTAAACCCTAAACCCTAAACCCTAAACCCTAAACCCTAAACCGCCCAAAACCCTATACCCTATACTCACAAAGACAAAGCACAAGAAATGCAAAAGTCAAAGCTCAGGAGGAGCCACCTCGCTGGGACCCCACCGCCCCGGTGTGGACGGCGGAGGCGGTGGCTTCAACAGGGTTTAGGGTTTAGGGTTTAGGGTTTAGGGTTTGCACCTGCGACCCTAGACGATTTACCTTGGGACCACCTGGTCAAGTGTCGAACTCATAGGGCTTTGAGATTGAGTCTGCAGAAGGGAGGCGGACATGAGGGGTTTCAGGGTTTAGGGTTTATAGGGTTTAGGGGAGGTTCGACCGATGCACGACCTAAACCCTAAACCCTAAACCCTCAAGACCAGGATGAATAGAGATTGTTTGCGTTTCAGTCTGAATTTGCGCCGCCCACCCAAACCACCGACTTCGGGCAGTTCGGACATTCAAAAGAAAAAAACGGCCAAAACCCTGTCAAAACCTGCACAAAACCCGCACAAAGCCCAGTCAAAACCTGCACAAGACCCCGGACACAAAACCTATACAACTTCTATAAACCCTAAACCCTTCACCATTCCCACGCTGCGGTGGAATGACAGGACTTGGAGGACACCTCGGCGGGTCCTTCGGACAGCTGCCCCCACACGCACACGCGCCCTTGTCTCCGTTTTAAACCTACCCTAAACCCTAGACCCTAGACCCTGGACCCTAAACCCTAAACCCTAAACCTTAAACCCTAAACCCTAAACCCTAAACCCTAAACCCTAAACCCTAAACCCTAAACCCTAAACCCTAAACCCTAAACCCTAAACCCTAAACCCTAAACCCTAAACCCTAAACCCTAAACCCTAAACCCTAAACCCTAAAAACCCTAAACCCTAAAAACCCTAAACCCTAAACCCTAAACCCTAAACCCTAAACCCTAAACCCTAAACCCTAAACCCTAAACCCTAAACCCTAAACCCTAAACCCTAAACCCTAAACCCTAAACCCTAAACCCTAAACCCTACCCGTCTCAGAGGCCCGGATGTAAATAAAGGGTCTTTCAGGATTTAAGGGTTGTATGGTGGGATGTTCCCCTTTTAAATGTACTGACGGTCCTTAATAGGGATGAGAATAGGGGGGGGCACTATAATCGCTATCAAGGACTGCTAGTATGAGGGGAACATCACAAGTTTGATGATTCAAAAGGGCGTTTTTTTGGCTATACCTGGTTCAAAAGGGGCAAATGGCAACCCTAAACCCCAAACCCCAAACCCTAAACCCTAAACCCTCATGCCCAGGCTTGTTTACTTGCATGCCTTCGGACGCTGCGGCTGCCTCAGCGCTGCCTGCACTTTTGTTCGACTCAGGCATCTCTCAGCTAGCAGACACAGTTCTGGACACACGGGCTCCCTCAACCCTAACCCCTAAGCCCTATAAGCCCTAAACCCTAAGCACGAAGCCCTAGACCCTAAACCCTGATTAAACCCTAACACCCCAAACCCTAAGCCCTAAACCCACCTCGGCTCCCTTCAAGGCTCGAAAGTGGCCTGGGGCTGTTTTTGCTGGGGTTAGCTCCCCGGGAGCATAGCACGAGAAGCCGCTTGATGTCAGGAGCCCCTGCTTGGCTGGCACCCCAAAGTTCAGGGTTTAGGGTTTTGGGTTTAGGGTTTAGGGTTTAGGGTTTAGGGTTTAGGGTTTAGTGTCTAGGGTTTAGGGTTTAGGGTTTAGGGTTTAGGGTTTAGGGTTTAGGGTTTAGGGTTTAGGGAGTGCTAAGCGGGCTCCGTTTTCAGATCTTTTCGAGTCTGAGTGATCCCCGAGCCACACCCGAAGCCAAGGGGCACGAGAATCGGGATCCAAGGCAGGTCAACGTAGCCAAGGTCGGCACAGGTTCTGTACTAAACAAAAGGGTTTAGGGTTTAGGGTTTAGGGTTTAGGGTTTAGGGTTTAGGGTTCTGAGGGAAAAATGCATTTCCCCTTTGTTTAGTCGTAGGAGTTCCCCCCCTTGATTTAGGAGCCCAGGTGGCAAGGAGTATGTGCAGCCCTTGCTGGACCGTCTCTCACCAGGTGCCTCGTCGAGTGTCTTGTGCTTTTGGGCTTCAAGGGTTTAGGGTTTTATGGTTTAGGGTGTTTGCCTGCCCCTACCTAAACCAAGCCCCGGAAAATGAGCAAGCAGAACCACGCATCAACCCTAAACCCTATACAAACCCTACACCCTGAACCTAAACCCTATAAACCCAAAACCCTAAACCCCAATCCCTAAACCCCAAACCCTAAACCCCAAACCCTAAACCCTAAACCGTAAACCCCAAACCCCAAACCCCAAACCCTAAACCCCAAACCCCAAACCCTAAACCCCAAACCCTAAACCCCAAACCCTAAACTCATGGCCCTAGGTTCCCCCCTTGAATTACCTGAACTAAGCTTAATGATCCCTAAAATACCCTTAATCATTGGGGAACCTAGGAGGGGTAGTATAGAGGGGGGTAGTAGGGGAACCCATGATAAACCCTAAACCCCAAACCCTAAACCCCAAACTCTAAACCCTAAACCCCAAACCCTAAACCCTAAACCCGAAACCCCAAACCCCAAACCCTAAACCCCAAACAGCTCCCCCAGGTTTCTCCATCCCCTGGACCGCGGGTCCGGCTCGGGCCGGGGGCCTCCGCGTGGCGCTGCCCACGGCGCCAAAGGTGGCGCAGCCTTGGGGGCCCCGCACTCGGCCTTTTGGGGAGGTTGTATAGGCTTTAGGGGTTTAGGGTTTAGGATTTAGGGTTTAGGGTTCAGGGTTTAGGGTTATAGGGTTTAGGGTTTGGGGTTCAGGGTTGTGCTGCAAGCTACCACAGGAGCTCTGAAGCGAAAGGGTTGTGCTGCACGTGTACTGGCTAGACCTCAGACCAGTGGCAAACGGGTTTAGGGTTTGGGGTTTAGGGATGCTGGGATTTTAGGGGAGTCTTATTCTTGCGGGGCTTCTCTATGGGACCAAGGGGTCGTCGCCTACTCGACACCCGAGAAGTGGAGAGGGCCAAGGCGACAGCCAGTTCTCCATCTCCGTGTCGTTTCAAAAGGATCATGTCTACATTGGTCAGTTCTCTAAAATTATGGCCCCTTCTTTGGGTACCCTAAGCCGCCTGATAAAAGGACCCCAAAAGGGAGCATCCTTTAGAGAAGTGATCACACCACCAAATCTCTAAACTACGATCCTTGTCAAGGTTTCTTTCCCAGAAGGTCCTAAGTACCTACATGGTAGAAAGTAGGTTTTCTATAATGGGAATGAATATTATGGTTGGGGTAAGTGTTCCCCAAAAAGGTACTCAGGACCCTTTGGGTTTGAAAACAGGGTTACAGGGTACTCTACAGGGTGGGGCCCCCTAGTTATAAGTAGAGTTATAAGGGCCCTAAATTGGGTTATAAGAACCCTAAGTTAGGTTATAAGTCCCTTAACTACAACTATAGTAAGGGGGCCCGCCCTGTAGGCCCCCATCTCCTGAGGCCTGTGGAAACATCTTGGCACGAGCCCGGGGCCCGGACCTCTCTTCAATGCAGCGTCGGTACGTACAAAAGGAGGGGTCGGAATACTAATTACAAATAGAATTCCCCCGTGGTCCCTTTATAAGTATACTAGAAGAAGCCCCACAAACCCTATCCTAATTATTCAGGCACCTATGTTTTCTTGTGATCTCTACAGTTCTCGAAGGCAGGTTCCCCGACGCGGTGCTGGTAGGGTTCAGGGCCTGAGGGTTTACCTTGAGTTGAGACCCAACACCTACAGCTCTGAGTCCTGGCGTGCTGCCTCGAAGTTGCTTGCCTCGCGATGACAAGTTGAACAGCACGGATGAGAGGAGCTCGACATTGGTGCGTGCGAGTGCCAGGTATGCGTCCGCCGACAGCAATGAAGTCGGCTGGGGCCTTGGCATCACGCCGCACCTTCGTATCTTCAGTCTCTCCAGAGCGAGACGGAGTTGTTTTGACAACCACCCATATAAAATCCCTTCCGAATTTTCCAACCAGCAGTTCAAAAAAACTGAGAACACCTCAACCCTCTAGGCTTGGGATGTTCCCCCTTCTACTAACAGTCCTTAATAGGGAGTATCCCCGATTATAATCCCTATAAGGACTCTTAGTATGAGAGGGAACATTTCAACTGTGAGCCTTAGTTGAGCCCGGTGGAACAAGCAAGCCCTCTCCATCCTCAACCCCGGTGGCAACAAGAAGCCCTAAACCCGCGAACCCGAAACCCTGCCAACGTCTGCTGGTGTCAGAGCCGAAACCCCAAACCCCCAACCCTAAACCCTATAGTTACACAAGCGCAAACACCCTAACCCTACACCCTACACCCTACATCCTAAACCCCAAGCCCTATAAACCCCATAAACCCTATAAACCCTATGAACCCTATAAACCCTATAAACCCCAAAACATCCTATAAACCCCTACACACCCTAGAAACCCTTTAGACCCCTCTAAACCCCTATTAAACCCCTATTAAACCCCCGAAGAAGCCCCAAGAAGTGATCTGCAGGAGACGCGGCGCTGCTGGCGGAGCAGCGCCGGCGCCTTGCGAAGCTCCTCGAGGAGGAGGCGCCCTTTCTTTTTTTTTTTTTTTTGGGGGGGGGGGGGGGATTTAGGGTTTAGGGTTCTGAGCGCCTGTGAGAGAGAGAGGGTTTAGGGTTTAGGGTTTAGGGTTTAGGGTTTAGGGTTTAGGGTTTAGGGTTTAGGGTTTAGGGTTTAGGGTTTCCCTCTGAAGGCCTCTTTGTATAAGGGGGGAACATCCCAACTTCCCAGGTACCCTAAACCCTAAACCCTAAACCCTAAACCCTAAACCCTAAACCCTAAACCCTAAACCCTAAACCCTAAACCCTAAACCCTAAACCCTAAACCTATAACGAATTGGTGTCCAGGTGGACAGGCTCGGGGGCCGCGGCGAGCGGGTTTTCCTGGGTGGCCTGTCGCAAGGCAAGGATCCTGATGGGTTGAGGAGTTTGAAACGGTTTAGGGTTTAGGGTTTAGGGTTTAGGGTTCAGGGTTTAGGGTTTAGGGTTTAGAGTGTAGAGTGCTTGAGGCACGTAAGAGAGCCCTCCGGCAAAAGAAAGGGTTTAGGTATAAAGCGGTGGGGAAATTGTCCGATCCAGCCCATTGGTTTGCTCACGCAACCCCATACCCAAGAAGGACCCTGGACAGAGCTGCCAAACCAAAACTTTGGGATGTTTATTTTTTAATTAGCAGTCCTTAATAGAGGTCATAGAAATCCCCTATTCAGATCCCTATCAAGGACTGCTACTAAAAGGAAGAATATCCCAACCTAACCCCCTTCACACGGGAGAAGAGCACGAGCTAGACTAAGGCGCGTTGAGCCGGTACCCGCTGAATTCATGGGCACCCTAAACCCTAAACCCTAAACCCTATAAACCCTAAACCCTAAACCCTAAACCCTAAACCCTCCACCGTCACTTGCCAGGCTGTACGGCAGCCTTGGACATCTACTTGCAGGAGGCAAGTGCGCTGAGGGCTGGGGGGAGGGGGGGGCGGTTTAGGGTTTAGGGTTTAGGGCTTTAGGGTTTAGGGTTTAGGGTCTAGGTGGAGTCCAGAGGTTTCGCGAGAATCCCATACTTTGTTGTGGCCTGCTTTTCCAGGCAGCGGGATCATTTGATGGAGCTTCAAAGCTTCAAGTCTTCCACTGTTGCTTGAGTATCTGGCCTCGCTTGAGTGTGCCTGAAAGAGTCTCCAGATCCCCTTTCATAAGGGCCCGAAACGCGTCTCAGTCCAGGGAAGACTGAGACCTTCCATGAAGTTCTTAACAACTGGGGGGTCGGTCCAGAATTGGGTTTAGGGCCAGGCTTAGTGCACGAAATTTGGGGTTGCGGGGACTTTCTCGGTGGGGGTTCTTGCTTACAAGGAACCACCAACTCTACAATCTGCCTATGCAAATGGCTTTAATCACAACCCCCTTATAAACCCTATAAGTCCTAATTCCATGGCCTTCTTTAATTAGTCACAACCCCTTATAAACCCGAAACCCTAAACCCTAAACCCTAAACCCAGATTCTGTTGCGTCTGCCGGGTCTGCCAGGCTTGCCGCCTCCGTCTGGGCGGTTTTGTGGGTAGCCGCTTGGGTCGACACAGCTGCCATAGCTTACTCGGTGGGTTTAGGGTTTCGGGTGTAGGGTTTAGGGTGTAGGGTTTAGGGTTTAGGGTTTAGGGTTTGGGGTGTAGGGTTTAGGGTTTAGGGTTTAGGGTTTGGGGTGTAGGGTTTAGGGTTTAGGGTTTGGGGTTTAGGGTGTAGGGTTTAGGGTTTTTACGTATTTGTTCTTCGTAGGGAATGTGGAATCTAGGTTCCCCTAGACAATCTCTCGAAGGGTTGTATGGGTGGAGACAAGGTACCTACTTCCACATTAAGAACTGATCCCCTTTACTTGTCTTGTAATTGCATTTCCTGGCTCCTGGTTTTTGCTTGACCCCCCCCCCCCCCCCCCCCCCCCCCCCTAAACCCTAAACCCTAAACCCTAAACCCTAAACCCTAAACCCTAAACCCTAAACCCTAAACCCTAAACCCCCTTTTTCTGGTTGTTTTTGTTGTCGCGGCTTGCGGGTCGAGGTGTGGGCTTCCTGCCGAGCGACGAGATGGGATTCCCAGGTGCAGATGAGGCACGTTTAGGGTCTTAGGGCTTAGGGTGGTGTTAGGGCGGGTTTTAGGGTTTGTTTAGGCGTTGTGGGGGTTTAGGGTTCTAGGGTTTTAGGGTTTTGGGGTTTTGGGGGTTTAGTTGGGGTTTTAGGGTTTTAGGGCTTTAGGATTTGTTTAAGGGCATTGGGAGTTTTGGGGTTTTTGGATTTAGGGTTTGTTCCCTGCCCTCGGTGTGGGGTTGTTAGATGTTCAACTCAACTCTTCTCCTCGCCCGGTCTACTTCTCGCCCAACCCCGGGCCCAAACCCAAAATAAAGTGTCCCAGGAGTGCCCAACCCCAAAGTGTCCCTGGAGTGCCCAACCCCAAAGTGTCCGGAATTCCCAACCCGAAAGAGTGCCCCTGGAGTGCCAACCCAGGGTGTCCCTGCAGTGCCCAACCCAGAGTGTCCCTGGAGCGCCCAACGAGAGTATCTCTGCCCAGAGAGGGTGGGGATGTTCGAAATAAGATAACTTAAGGGTTGTGGAGTTTTTGGGGTTTAGTGGGGGTTGTAGGGCGTTAGGGTTTGTTTCTGGGTTTTGGGGCTGTGGGCTTTTAGGGTTTGGGGTTTGGGTTACTTGTTGGGCCTGAAGCCGGGGGGTCATAGAAATTGCGACGACCAGGGCATTCGGGTGTCTTTGAGGTTTGGAGGGCACAGCCCGAAACCCTAAACCCTGAGACCGTGCTAATGCCTCTCATGCACGGGCTCTGGGTTTAAAGCCACGGTTTAGGTTTAGGGTTTAGGGTTTAGGGTTAGGGTTTAGGGTTTAGGGTTTAGGGTTTCGGGTTTGGGGTTTGGGGTTTAGGGTTTAGGGTTTAGGGTTTAGGGTGATTGTGTTTAAGCTTTTAAGCTTTGGGTGTTTGGCTGGTGCTTTGGGGGTGGGTTGGGCGGGCAGTTTGAATTTGCTGGCTGATCTAAACATGCTCCACATCCCACACACGCCCATGAGTCTCACGACGCATTCTATGAGCCCCGAACCCAGACCCTCCTCTGGTGGCCTAAACCGGGTTTTAGGGTTTAGGGTTTAGGGTTTAGGGTTCAGGGGTGTTAGGGGTTTAGGGTTCCGGGCCAAGCCACGTTGGACGCGAGGCTCTGGACGCATTGCTTGCAGACAAGGCAGGGGTTGTCCGGTCTTCTCTCAGTGACCTAAATCTTAAACCCTAAACTCTAAACCCTAAACCGCACCCTGAGCATCCCCAACCCGTAGCTCTTTATTCACTACAGTTAAGCCAGGCAAGCCCTTTCGTTGCCACTATTCTACCATCTCTCCACAGGACCAAGCGGCACGACCGGTTGTCCTCCAAAGTGCTGAGGACGCATGCAGACCCCCTGCAACACACCTTCGTCCTCCTGGGCGGTTTAGGGTTTAGGGTTTGGGGTTTGGGGTTTGGGGTTTGGGGTTTGGGGTTTGGGTTTAGGGTTTAGGGTTTAGGGTTTAGGGTTTAGGGTTTAGGGTTTAGGGTTTAGGGTTTAGGGTTTCGGGTTTAGGATACCCCAACAGCCCACGACACACTCTGTCGGGATTGGGCAGGCGACGGGGAGGAGGAGGATGGTCGTCTTTTTACACGTTGTTTGGTCGCACGAAATTCGCCGAATCCTCTTCCTTCCGTTCACAGCTTTGTGGCGAAACCCTAAACCCTACACCCTACACCCTACACCCTACACCCTACACCCTACACCCTAAACCCTAAACCCTAAACCCTAAACCCTAAACCCTAAACCCTAAACCCTAAACCCTAAACCCTACCCCTAAACCCTTCTTCATTCCGTTCGCAGCTTTGTGGCTTGTTTTCCAAACACGTGCCCCCCCCCCCCCCCAGCAAACACGCAGTGCGTGCCACGTCGATCCAACGCAGCAGTCAGCTCAAAGCCAAGCCGCCGAGGCAGTTTGACTAAACCCCGAACCCGAAAATATCCCCCTGGTTCTTAGTAGGGAATGAGGGAAACTAGGGCCATATATCTATCTATCTATATATATATATAATATAAGTTTTTTCTTTTACATATATATATATATACCCTTAAGGGATTATGTAGGGTACCTCCTTCCCTCATTCCCTACTCAGAACCAGCCCATGGCGACCGACTGCACGATGAGGATTCCCGTTCGGCAGATGAATGGCAAAGTGTCCATGCTTGACTTAGGGTTTAGGGTTTAGGGTTTAGGGTTTAGGGTTTAGGGTTTAGGGTTTAGGGTTTAGGGTTTAGGGTTTAGGGTTTAGGGTTTAGGGTTTAGGGTTTAGGGTTTAGGGTTTAGGGTTTAGGGTTTAGGGATACTACAATCCCCTAAGGTGTCCATACTCGAGCTGTCGCCCGAGTCCTCTGTCCTCGAGCTGAAGAAGCCTGGCTTTCTTCTGGCTGGCTCTTAGGACTTTAACCTTTTGGAAGTTTTTGGTAGAAACTACAACAAGGGGCCCCTAAACCCTAAACCCGAAACCCGAAACCCGAAGCCAGCCAAGGAAGCGCGTCAAAGGCTGGATGACTGAGGCTGAGCCTTCGCGGGAGATCAGTCATATCAGACACTTGGCGGTCCAGTGGTACCCCTCACCCCCTTTTTCTTGGGGTTCTGGGTTCCCTTATAAAGTAAGCAAACCCCAAAAAGGGTGCCCCTATCACAATACGGTTACCCAAAGGGTCCTAAGTACCTATATAGTAGAAAGTAGGGTTTCTATAGTAAGAATTGCGATTATGGTTTGGGTAAGTGTCCCCCATGTAGGTACTTAGGACCCTTTGGGAAAGGAAGCCAAACCAAAAACCTAAACCCTCGACCCGAAACCCTAAGCCCTAAACCCTAAACCCTAGGACAAGTGGACCTGGTTGTCGGTGAACGGAAGTTGGTGGATACGCTGACGCTCATTGAGGCTGGCATTTCTGCCGAGACCCCTGTCCAGGTGGGGGATTTCCGAAATTAGGGTTTAGGGTTTAGGGTTTAGGGGTCCTGATTATAAGGGAATCCTACCATTTGGGCGTCTCCATTAGGGGGTCCCCTCAGGTGGTCATCAGCTCGAGTCCGGTGTTATGTTTCGACAAAGCATCAGCTGCGTCGGCTGGACATGATGTGACATCCCTGATGATCGTGGAGATACCTCAGCAGGAGCTGATTGATTGTGACGCCTTTAGTGGCTGCAGTTCGTTGGTCAAGGTCATCATTCCGGACTCGGTGACGAGGATTGCGCCAAAAGCCTTTAAGGCTTGTAGCTCCTTGGAAGACCTCACCCTTCCTTCATCGTTGTGGGAACTCGGGTCAGAAGCGTTTCAAGGTTGCAGTTCCCTGCCAGAAATCACCATCCCGTATATCGTGCCAGCGATCTGGCCGCTGACCTTTGACAGCTGCAGCTCTTTGTCAAGCGTCACGCTAGGCCAGAGCGTCTCGCTGATTGAGCCGCAGGCCTTCAGCTTCTGCAGCTCATTGAGGTCCCTGACAGTTACAAGGGCTCTGTGTTTCATTGGGCGGCATGCCTTTCAAGGTTGCTCATCTCTGAAAAGCATCACGATTCAGAATCTGGAACCCGTGGAAATACCTCCATCAGCAAGACAAGTCACAAGCTTGCACGCAGGAATTAAGGGTTAAGGGGTTACGGTTTCTAGGGCGTTTAACGTTTAGGGTAGACGGACCAGAGAAGATCTGGTTGTCACTAGATCAGCTAGATGTATCTCGATCTGCTTTTCTCCTCCTGCTGTGACTTTGTGTCTTGCCTGGTGCCTCAGGTGCAGATGAGAGTGCCGAATCGAGTGAGAATGATTCAAAGGGAAGCCTTCTTGGACTGTAGCTCCTTGACCCACGTGACGCTCTCTTTTGCTTTCGCCCGGATAGAAGCCACTGCGTTCGCAGGGTGCAGAGCTTTGGAAAGCGCGGCTTGGTGCAGGTGTAGTACGCATACGGCAATGGTTGTTGACACTGAACATGAATGGGTTGCTACTCTAAACCCCTAAACCCCTATAAACCCCTAAAAACCCCTAAACCCCCCTAAACCCCCTAAACCCTAAACCGGCGGAACATTGGAAGGAGCCCGCCCCTGGGCCGTTCCCCCCCAGATTAGGTGAAGCTTCTGGGCGCTACGACGCAGGTGGAAGACGGAGCACCTTGGGGGGCCAAATGAACCTTTAGGGTTTAGGGTTTAGGGTTTAGGATTTAGGGTTTGGGGTTTAGGGTTTAGGGTTTAGGGTTTAGGGTTTAGGGTTTAGGGTTTAGGGTTTAGGTTAGGGTTTAGGGCTAGGGTTCAGGGAACCCCGAAGTTGGGGTCATCTACCCTCTACGACTACAATTCCAGTTACTTAAAGTATATGACCCATCTGCCCTTTTCAGGGCTTATTCTTTGGGGTCATATACCCTACAGTACTATAGTCCCTGTTAAAGTATATGACCCAGAAACCCCTTTTGGGGCTCAATGTCGGCCTTGAGGCCTTCGATGGATCTCCGCGGATACAGAAAGGCATGACGAAGGAAGATGCCCAAAGGATGGGCCTGAGGATCCCGGCAGGTTTTCCAAGGGGTTTCCTCTCTGAGAGCATTTCCTTGAAGCCAGCAGCTTCACGTTCAGCACCCTAAGGCCCTGATTAGCCCTAAGCCCTTAAACCCTAAACCCCGGGAGGATCCCCAGGAGGTTTCCCAAGGATTCCCTCTCTGAGAGTCCTTCCGTGAAGCCAGGAGGCAAACGCGCATTGAACCTAAACCCGAAACCCTAAACCCTGGTTCAAAAAGAAGAAGAACCCTAAACCCTAAACCCTAAACCCTAAACCCTAAACCCTAAACCCTAAACCCTAAACCCTAAACCCTAAACCCTAAACCCTAAACCCTAAACCCTAAACCCTAAACCCTAAACCCTAAACCCTCAACCCTACCCAGCATCTCAACTGCAGCCCAGCGGCGGGTAACAAAAGGGGTGCTCCGCGGTGCTCTGCAAGCGGGTCAGGTCATCCTCCAGTCCCAAGTCTGGTCTCTTCGTGTTTAAAATGCCCAGCATGCTTTTTGGTTATCTATTCAATTTCTCTAAGTATTATTTGTTTAAATTTTCTATTTTTCTAAGTATTCTATTTTTCTAAGTTTTTTAAGATTCGTTCAAATATTCCTTTGCTATGTGTGAATCTTGGCCATTCTCCCACAAGAAAGGGACAACTGTAGGCATGTCTGGGGCTGAGTGATCTCATAGGCTGGACCAGGAACCTTCGTTTCATCTACATGTCGTCCCCTTCCCTCCGAAATTCAGGGTACCTTTATTGGGGTCCCTATTCGAAGGGAATCCTACTATTTGGGGTCATTTGCAGGGGTCAACTACTTTTTGGTAAATCAACCATATCCTGTAGGAGGGTTTAGGGTTTCGGGTTTAGGGTTTAGGGTTTAGGGTTTAGGGTTTAGGGTTTAGGGCTTTTGGGCCCATGGCGACCGACGGCCCGATGAGGGTGCCCGTCCGGCAGCTGAATGGCAAGGTGTCTTAGTAGCTGAGTGAGTACACTTTCCACTTTAGGGTTTAGGGTTTAGGGTTTAGGGTTTAGGGTTTAGGGTTTAGGGCCTCGGGTGTAGGGTTTAGGGTTAAGGGTTTTGGGAGGCTACAATCCCCTCTAGAACTGAAAGTGCACACATTTTTGGGGGTCTGATGAACTCAGCAACGAAGGTGTGCATCCTCGAGCTGTCGCCCGAGTCCTCGGTCCTGGAGCTGAAAAAGCGCGTGAAAGGTTGGATGCGTGAGGAGGAGCCTTTGTCATAGTTGGGTGCCATTTTACATGTTTAAGGGTACTTAAACCCTGTAAGGAATGGAAATTTACGTTTTTAATATGATCCCAACTATGAACTAGGAGCCCTCGCGGGATATCAGTCATATCAGTCAAGTGGACCTGGTGGTCGGCGAACGGAAGTTGGCGAGTAGTCTGACTCTCGCGGAGGCCGGAATTTCTGCCGAGACTCCTGTCCAGGTGGTTTTCAGCTCGAGTCCGGTGTTCTGTTTCGACAAAGCATCGGCTGCGTCGTCTGGACATGATGTCGCATCCCTGGTGAGCGTGGAGATACCTCAGCAGGAGCTGATTGATCGTGACGCCTTTAGTGGCTGCAGTTCGTTGGTCAAGGTCATCATTCCGGACTCGGTGACGAGGATTGCGCCCAAAGCCTTCAAGGCTTGCAGCTCCTTGGAAGACCTCACCCTGCCTTCATCGTTGTGGGAACTCGGGTCAGAAGCATTTCAAGGTTGCAGTTCCCTGCCAGAGATCACCATCCCGCCTATCGTGCCGGTGATTTGGCCGCTGACCTTTGACAGCTGCAGCTCTTTGTCAAGCCTGACACTTGGCCAGAGTGTGTCGCTGATTGAGCCACAGGCCTTTA